TGAATCCTCCAATTAAATACATAGACCACCGCACTATTCCGCTTAAGCAAATTATTTATTACGTGCCTAGTTAGTAAACTTAACAATCTTGCATTACCTCATGGCTGTAGTAAGTTACCCACCAATCTTTTGAGTATTCTGTACTTGTCTCTGCCACAGCATGGGTATCCCCTTTTGCCAGGTCTCTGTATACCCGTAGTCCAGCTACACATGTGGTATGTGATTTCAGAGCTTACTGTTATGTTTGGCTTTTATAGGGTTACATGGTGGTGGCTTCCACCATAATCTCCAAGTCCCCTGATGTTCTTATGAAAAGAATGTGCGTTTTTTACGCTGACTTTAGAGCATTGGACCCCTTTGTGCTGGAGAACCAGGTTTCTGGTTTCTGTACCCAGTAGTTGAGGAGCTGAGGCTTCCTTGCCCCTGCGGACTGCTAGCGCAGCGTGCCTATTTGACCTAGGGGATGTGAGTGGATGGTTGCACTAACGCTTAAAAGTTACTTCAGAATTTTCCAGCTTAACTGAATTACTGGCTACTGGTAATCAGTTACAAAGATCCCTGAGTTCTAGAAACTGTGTCTGTTTTCTCAGAATCAGTTTCTGTAGTGTAACACCTGCTGGGGTAATACGAAATACAATGAATCTTCATAAGAAGTGAAAATCAAATTCTTGTTTTGGCTAATCAGTTATGAAACGTAAGCTTTAGTGGCCCAAATGCATTTATTTTTCTTTCATTCTCCATCACACCCCTCTCCCGAATCCCCCTTATACTCCAACAGCTCTACTGATTAACAAAAAAATTTGCATATATTTAATACTAGAAATATTATCATACTTAGCTGTCATTTCATGTTTGTAACCTGTTCTCAAAAGCATACATTTTGATGTTCGAGAGTTCAGTTTATTGGTGCTCTCTCCCTGTCCTCTGCTGCCTTGCTCATCAAAATAATTACATCTTATTTATTATGCATAATTATGTATCATGAAGCTATTCCGTAAGAGAGAGATGACAACATATCACAGCTTTCACATTTATTAGGAGGAAAAAGGTGTCTTTGAGAAAGTCCTTTAAGTGCACATCTCAAACTGCTGATGCAGAAACCAGTATGTTATTGCAGAGCCTATGTTATATCCTGATTTTTCTGCCTTTAGTTTTGGGGAGGGGCGGGGTGGAAGTACAGCACCATTTTTCATTCATTAGCTGCCTACAAAGGAAAGATGGGTAATCCCTCCAGCTCTCATCAACCAAGTGATGTTACAATAAACACTTAGAATTTTAGAGACGCATCAACAGCTGTCTTTAAATTAGAGCTAAAGCAATGTAGAAATACCTGTTTGAAATTCACTCATTAAAGGGAGAGACTAAAATTTTCAATTTTAACAGTGTTAAATGGGTAAAAATACATGAGCAAAAGGGTAAGAATGGTTGTGATAAAGGACTACATCACGCTGCAGGTCTGCTGCGTTCACCCTAATGGACTATCATAAGCCGGCTGCATGGTGCCAAACGTTTAGATCCTATTTGTTGCTGGGCAGCTGAGTCCATTCAGGCAGATGATGTTACCGCTCTCTCAGGGACACCGTATTAAAGTACAGTTTCCCGTGTCTTATTGATCTTGGCATACAGTTTTCCACAGTCTTGTGTAGTACATGATGAGTTTTCTTTCCCAGAACAACACTCTTTATAACAGTTTAAAGAGCTGGAGACAGTCCCAAAACAATGAATGCGTGGGTTAAAATGGATACATGCTATTCACCAAGGCAAAACCCATCTCTGTGAATCACGGAAGGTAAACAGCTGAATAAAGCCCTTCTTTGCTGATTGATCCTACTTCAGCTCAGCCTGCTGACCGTCAGGGCGGGCCCGGTCTGCGTTGGTAGCGCCTGATCCCTCACTCTGCTGCATCTTTCCTCCTTGGAGTTCTAAAACTTGTTGGTTTGGTTTTTTTTTTTTCCCCTCGCTCTCAGGCCTCTCACGTGCTGGGTGTCAGGTTTCACCTGCGGCAACCCCCGCCCGACTCTCCACCCCGTTCCTTCCGTTTAATACATCTTTAAAAAAAGCAAACACTTCACAGCAGCGTTTCTATTATGACAGGAATCACCCAAGATGGCCGCAGCATCTTCCCGCTGTCCTTATTCTTTCGATACCTGCGGGAAGAAATTTAATTCCCCCTTAAAAAAAAAAAA